GGAGGAAATGAAAAATCCAACCAACCAAAGAAAATTCTAGAAAAAAAATTTTGAAAATTATTTTTAATCAAGAAACAAACGCACACTAAAGAATAAATGAATAAAAGAATAAGTGAAAAAGCAATGAATAAAAGAAAAGGAAAAGTCAATTTATCCAGGTTGATCTAGATCGAACGTAGTAACCTTGAAAACACTGACTTCACTAGCCTTACATCAACCTCACAGCATGTACACGGTACACTATAACGAAACATTTAAATGGATTCCTATTAATTTTGTTCGTCTCGCCGGCCAATCAGAATGTATGTTGTTAGCACTAAAATGGCTTCTAAATGCTATTCTGCAATCATATAGTTGCCAACACTGAAATGGTTTCCCATTATTTCGATGCGTTTTCCCCCCACCAGTTAAAAACTTATTCATGTTAGCCTCCCTTGAATAAAAGAAATCTGAGCCCACTATCCTGACCAAACCCGGTCAAATACTGTAATTTACAATTATCGGTGTTTCAATTTTTTAAATTTTACTTACAGAGAATTAGCAAACATTTAAGTGAGCAGAATTTTCAGCAATTGAATTAAAGCGATGTATTTTTGGCGTTATTCTATCAAAATGACATAAAACGCTCGGTGAAATAGTTTCAAATGGATTTTCAAGGCAGAAAGTGAGTTATCGCCAAACAACCACTTGAGACGATTATTCGTGAATTCATAGTACTTGAACGTAAATCTATACATTGGAAGAATCTGTATATAGTATTACAAGAGAAGTTAGACTTGCTCCAGAACCCATGTATAGACGGGTTTATTAATATCAAAAGACCAGTTCAGTAATCAGAACGAAAAAACTACCATCACTGCAACGGAAATTAGCTTTTTTTTTTTACAATCAATTTGGAATGTAAACATTCAGAGTTCTTTATCTAAGCCGCAAGTGATCGTATCTTCCGGAGAAATTGTAAGCGTTTAAGCGTTTTTTCTTTCAAACTTGAACCTATTGAGTTCTTTGTAGATTGAATTCCATATTTAAAAAGGCGAGTCGTTTTACAACTTTTATAAACGCGAGGGTATTAATTCGTCTAATTTCCAATTCATTCACGCATTGAAAGAAAAAAGATTGTCTTTATTTTCTATTTTTATAAAGTGAAAACTTTGATAGTATCTTGTTAAGACTTCTTGAAATTACTGTACAGCTATAAGACGCGTAAGCGCTGTGGGAGATAAGGAAAAAGTTTTTATCTTTGAGACAAAGTGCAAACAGGTGAAATCTGTGATGTTTTTATTGTTTAATCTGGTGTTTGTCCATCTTCGAAAGAGGATTCTCGCCTCAATAACAGAACACTTACAATGTTTAGAGTTCAACTACTGTTCATTTAAAGTACTTAAATTTGTCAGAGATTTGTTTGAACTTTTGAAAATTATGTACAAAGAAATAAAACATTTATAATGAAGTTGATAGCAGGCGATCAAGAAATGGCGCGCTCAGAGAAAGAAGAGAAAGAATCGACTCGACAATAGTCATGCTCTATTTTCACTTTATCTAAGATATGAAGAGTGCTCTCCTGGGATGGCTCTTGAAAATTCACAGCATGGATTCAATGTACAAACTATTTATCGTTTAGTGTTCCTTTAGAGAGTCTTGCAGTGAACGAAAATTAAGCTATATAGTTTTGGCTGCGAAAAAAGTATTTTTTACTATAAAATTAGAATAATACAAAGCATTCCTAGATAAATGTCTTTTATTTTCGTCAAGCCAAGATTTGTAAGATTTTCCTACAAAATTTATTATTGAAAACTATTTAAGAAATTTCTCTAAATATTTTTCCTAAATACTTCCAACCTTTCCGCCAAGGCGATTACTCTTGATTTTTATGGCTTAGTAAGGCAATCTACTCTTCTCGAGTCCCGCAAAAAGAAAGCGTGATTTCCCCCCCGTTTTACTTCACAGCCGCCTCCGTTGGCCACATAGTTGAAATTCCTCTTATGTGTATTATCTGCCCAACTTTGCTCTAAAACCCTCGCTTTTTATCTCTTTTCCCTAGCGTCAAACTGACCGCAGATATCTAAATACTATCTGCTCACGAACGTCCTTACTTTGCTGTAATACTAGAAAGATGCACACGCGCCTAAAGTCACTAATGCCCTAATTCCAATCAATTTGGAACTAATTCTCGATCGATTTTCCGGTCCAGTGGTGGAGGAGACTTCTGGACTCACCCGAACAAGATAGTTAAGAGATTTGCAATATAAAGTTAAATGATTTGAAGTAAATCGTTTTACAAAGACAATAGTGTGCGTAATGTCTATTAGTTTATTGTGGCGCAAAAGTGCTCGTTATTTCATTTACGCAAAGGAAATCGTGAATGGATATTCTAAACTTCGCCTTAATAGAGCTCTTTTGGATGCTTTGCTTAGAGATGTGCAATTAATGCACTTCAAAGCCTTGAGTTCGCCATTTCGCTCTGTAACTTACATTAGAAAATGTTCGCTTAGAGTCGAAAACTGTGATATAATCAGTTCGTTTATACAAGTCGTGTTGCCGCTATCGCAATCTATCTGTTTCAGGAATATACTAATTTTTATTGTCAACAATTTCATTACTAATGAAAAATCTTACATTGAGAAATCAAACCATATAACGTGCTTTTTAACTGCAAATTCCGTTCACTTGAATCAATTTAAGGCCGTTAACTGGAATAAATATATTAAATATTTCTTTAAAATCTAAGCTTCATTTTCCCCTTTTTGACAACATGGTAGAAGAATGAAGAATTATTATTCCACTTGTTCGAAGAACATTCTAAGATAATTGGGGAAAAAAAAAAAAAAAAACGAAAAAAAAAAGAACAAAATATTTAGTCTGTGATTCACTTTATTACAATAGTCAAAACCGCTTTTATGTTGCACATGAGAGTTTAGAGAAATTCCTATGTCATTTTTATGGAGATAATGCTATGCCTATTAATCACAACCACACCCCCAATATCTTACAAGAGAATTAATCCCGAGACTTCTAGCGAAAAATGTCTTAATCAAAGACTTCCATAATGTCTTAAAAACGAACCTTGAATGATCCGCTACAAATACTCGTTTGTAAGTTAGACTTACTAATGTATTAAGCGCAGATTTAAGGGATACTAGAATCACAGATCAATACAGTTATAGAAAATACCCAGAGAGCAGTAATTTGCTAATGTTTAGAAAATATGTCAAAGGGGATTCTAAAAAGACATAATGCTTTATTAGCGACGTTTAGAGCGAAACAACTTGGTAAAATTTCATTTTGAAATATCAATTTCTTAAACTGATTATTGGAACTACCTATTATAGAATCATAAGAATCAATAAAGCTTTAATATTTGACTGCACTAAAAAACGACCTAGTTGCGTTTTGAAGAGATACAAATCATTCATAGACATATAAAAGCCAAATTAAAAAAAAAAAAGATTTATTGACTTTGAAATTTTGACGTTTTGTTTTGCTTTCTCAAGAAAATAGATAAACAAAAATATCAGAAGTTTACTTGTGTTTGTAGGCGTTTCCTTTTGTGATAAATATGTACCTTTTCAACCAAAATCTGTACTTCTTTAGGGAAATAACTTAGTTTCCTTCTTTGAGACAACGAATTAGAACTCATCATTGTCAAACAACATTCATAGATCTTTCGAACAATATGCTTAATAGGTATCGGTAGAAGCTGTCGGTAGATTGTTGTGTTGGAAAAACCGTAAAATATATCGATACCTGATTTGATTCATCTTCTTCAAGGTGAAAGATTGGCCAAGCCTTTACGTTTGTCCATGGTACAAAGTCTTTTTGGAACCACTGAAGTCGCTAGGGAACTAGTCTTATACAGCTGCTCAAAATCGTCCGTTTACTCGGAACCCAAGCAAAGCTGAGCTAAATCTTTTTTCATAAGAAAAACAAACATATTTCTTGTGCGTCAAACTTTTAACAATAGCTAATAAAATGCCAAGTTTCTTGGCCGTGTGTCGCCCAGGAGACAGAAAGTTTCTCTGAGAACTAACCAGGTTTTTCCTAAAGTAGATTAACCAAGTCAAAACAAGACATTGTAGATTTTATTTTGAACGATCGACTTTATTTACGTATTCTTCAATAACAATAGGCAATATTCCTTAAAATTCGACATATCTTGATGTGTAGTTTATGATGGAATCGATTTGAAAGCACTTCACTTTTATTCAACAAATTAAACATGAGTTTTATACAATGAACGAAATGACTGGAAAATTTCAAAACTACGTTCAAATTTCAGCTATTTAGTCTTAAATAGTTATAATTAATAAATGCTAATAGTTATATACAAATATATTTTCAGTAAAACAAAGTTTATCTTTTTTCCATAAGGATTTTGAACCGTTTAGTTTACGTACAGTCAAAAGTTTACACCAATCTGAATATTCACTTAGTTTTCACCAGCAATTGTTAGGCATATTTTCAAAATATCGCTTGACCTAGTTTAGTATAATATTAAACTTTAATTTCGTTGTCAAATAAGCTTGAAGTTTGGAGGCTAATGTCAAAAAAATCTTTATTATACACGACACTTGAAGGACACTGATCCTAACTCGCAGCCCGAATCTTGCAAACAAAGCCTCCATTTACGCTTAATAAATGTTACCAGCACACAGCAGACGGCAATAGCTAACCCCAGGTGCGACGACATAACAGTAATCGCTTTTCAACTCGACCAATTCCCATAGCACTGGGCTGTAAATATATTATACAAACTTAAAAGCCTTTAACAAGTTTGCATTGAAGCCGCTCTGTAAAGAAACTGACTCATTACTTGGTACCTTTACATTGCAGTTCGACAATTAAATGGTGTTTTGAACTTAAGGGCGAAATATTTCAGTTATAAAACGTTAAAATCAGTCATGATAAAGCCTTGAACTTCGCAGTTTTTTCACTCCTTTTTAAAATAAACACCTAGTTTGAAACCGCCCTAAAAAGACAGAAAATGAAAACGCTCCAATGTATTTGCCATAATTGTTGAAAATTGCCGATCAAACGCTTTAATGGTTTGGTAAGACTGGTTCATTCTAGGCATGAAGCGCTAAACTCTTTGCTAATCACAGTTTCATCGATTTCCTAAATATATAAGTTGTTTTTCCATAAGCTTTTTAAAATACCTTCGTTTTCTAGTAATTAATGTTAAATGGTTTTCTAATATGGCTCTCTCCAATTAAAATAACTATTTTCACTATTTCTTTAATTTGTAAACTTAAAATTGAACGTATATGATTCTCATCTTTTGTCTTTGATGTAAGTGGATATATTTATTACATTGGTTTTGTAGTAGTTTCAGTGATTTGTGGAGTCATGTTCATCATTTTTTCGTCTCGTGTTGGCGGGATTTGTTGTTTCGCTTCTTCTGGTTTTGTATCATTGCGTTTTGTCGCGCTAGCTAAAGCACTGTTGGTTTTGTCCTTGGAAGTATTGGTAGAACTATCTGGTTTTTCTTTATCTCCAGGTTTTGAGTCCTTCTTTTTCCATTTCATTCGCCGGTTTTGAAACCATGTTTTGACTTGTGCTTCATTGAGACCTAAGATTTGAGCTAGTTTGGCACGGCTGGTCGAATCCAAGTATTTCTGCTCAGAGAAGGTTTTCTCGAGAACTCGAAGCTGCAGGTCTGTGAAGACTGTGCGGGATTTTCGGCATTTTCTTCCACTGGGAGTACGAAGACTTGGTTTGACGCGAAAATAGACCGGTAGGCTGTGTAGGACATCGTTTCTTGGATCACTTGCTGAATGAAAAAAAGTACAAAAACAATCAGTACTGAATCTGTACAAAAAGGGGCTCACTGTAAATCAGGGGAAAAAAGATAGAAAGAAAAACGAATTTGAGAAATTTAGTGTGTCAAAATTGAATAAGCAAAATATTGAAACTTGTGTTCTGAATGGCATCGGTTAGTCGGTGACTGAGAAAAGGATAACTAACTTCTACAATTTAACAACCGAAAACTAAAAACTAAGAAATTCATTTAAAAAGGGTTGCTTCGCGATTTTGTTTGTTTAAAACAAAATTATGAGAACGAAGAAACAAAGAAAAAATGTTAGAAGTAAGATTTTTGAAGCAAAATGAATCTTCCGTCTACTCGAGGTTTGTAGCCGGATCAGATCGTGAACTCCTGAAGAAACCGAAAAAAATAAGCAAAAAGAAAACAAAAGAGATAAAATCTTTTATATAAGCAGCCTCGAAAAGTATGGATAGGATTCTGTCAAGAAAGACAAGAAAAATATAATAACGATTGTTCACGAATTTTTCCGAAATTCTAAAACCGATTTTAGGGAGTGAAATAATGGAGTTTCTTAAGACTTTGTCCGTGAGTGAAAATCTTTTCCGGAGCAAGTGTCTTCGCACTAATTTGCTAAAAGTCTTAGTAAAAGGAATGAAAGCGATTCTTTGTGAGATTTCTTTTCGCCTTTAGTCATTTCAATACAAATACAAAAAACAAATACACTTAAAAGTTATAAATCCAAAATGTTTACTCAAGAACTCTCTGTCTTTTGCCACCTTTCGCCCACAAAATATTCGTTTACTTTTCGGGGTCAAAAATCCCTAAATGATGGATTTTGAGCGAACTAGATGGCTCGTTTAAGCTTTCAAATTTCCCTAAAGTAACTTGGTTATTTTGTAAAATGCCAAAATAGGCGATAACTGGTTGGTTTTAATTGCTAATTTACAAATTTCGTTTTTTAAAAAACACTACAATCTTTCTTTAGAAGTGTTCTAACTGACTGTATATCAGCAGCGATGCTAAAGATTTTTGTAACTTTGTAACTTTTTGGCATTTTTTTAAAACATAAAGTAAACGTTTTCTTCAACGATTTGTTGAGAGAAATTTGCATTTTTTCTTTAGAAATTATAGAATTGGTTTTGAAGGAATAGCTCTAGTTTCTCATGAAAAAAATTTCCTCACTTAAGATATCATTTTTTAGAGTAAAAATGAGGTTTAATTGTCAAAGTTTGGGTGTTACTTACTTTGGGCTTGTCCTGGTTTCGGTAAAGAGTTATGAGACAGAAAAGGTGGCATTCCACAATCAAACGAGCTGTGAGGAGAAGGCTTTCTTGGGCACACGTCTTGATAATGATTGCCTTGTTTAGGCACCCATGAATAGGACTGCGATGTAGAAGAACCACATATATTCTCACTCATCATGTGTGGGGTGTTGTACTTGGGTTGTGGTACAACCACATTGCTGTGAGGCACATAGTGAGGTGATTGTTGATAAAACAAGAAAGGATCTTGGTAAAACATCGTGGATGGCTCAAGTTCTTTCTATACTGCTCCGTCTTGTGAGGTATTAAAGTTCTGATGTACTAAGACTTCAGTCTTTAAATGGCTTCCTAAGTTCCTTGACGTCTATTAGCTCTTTCGTCATGATTGACAGCTTTAGGCATTTCTTATTCAAACAAACGGACTCTCTGCTGGCTTTATTAAGCGTTTTAGGGCTCCAATTTTAGAGTCAAATGCATTAATGAAAATCCCCGGCCTGTCTCATTTGTCATTTAAAAGGGGCCGAAATAGACTTGAAATAGGCTTTATTACCTCTCGTCACATTACAAACTCAATTAAGGGAGCTCGTTATTCACTTATTGCTTATTATACTACGGGCCATACTGCCAATTATAACTCATTATCTTGAAGATAATCGAAGGCGGAATTCAATTACGATGTTGAACAAAACCTCTTAAAAGCGTTGGGGGAAGTTGTGCAGTTTTGAAGGTGAAGTTTCATAGTTTCCAAAAGAGTGGGACAATGATGGCTACCTAAACAACACGGAACCCTTCCGAAATAAGATTTCTCTTTATTCTGGGTTTAGAAAGTAATAAGGGTCAAGAAACAGGGGTAATCTCAGCTGAAATTGAGCAGTACAAATAACAGACAAAAGAGAAAAAAAAAAAAAAAAAAAAAAAAAAAAAAAAAAAAAAAAAAAAAAAAAAAATTGATAAACGAGAAGAAATATCTGAAAGAAAAAAATTAAAAGAAGAAAAGAAATAGGATGTCGACACTAAGAAATTAGAAGAAAGCCAAATATATATATATATATATATATGAGCCAAGAAAGGAAGCGCGCGAGGAAAGTAAAATATGGAGAAAGAAGAAGAAGAAGAAGAACAAAGAATTTGATTCAATTTTCAACAAAGCAAGTCTCTTTTGAACGAAGTAGTTTCACAATTGATCTCAATAAAAACTGAGCAACGCTGTCACTAGCAAGGTGTCATTTGTTAGGAAGCCATGAAAAGTCAAAAGATTTTGTATTGATCGTAAAACAAAAGTTTCAGTGGCACACATTTGTCATCAAAGCGATTCTGTCTCGTGTGGCAGAGAGAGAAAAGTACTTATTTACAAAGAAAGAAAAGAAAATGATACCCTATCGAGGTAGGGGGTAGTTTTTTGTTCCTTTTTAATGTCTTTAAGCCTTTATTCCAGTGTTTTTAAAGAGAATTTTTAAACGGACACCAAATAAGACTACAAGTACTTGGACATCTTTAACTGTCTGTGGGGAAGGTCGTTACTAGGTCGTTTGGCGAAGCCTTAGAAAAATCAAATAACTCATTTAAGGTTTGGAAACAATGCATCCTATAAGTAAAATGAAAATTGCCGGGGGAAAATAGTGTAAAAAGTTGAAATATTTTATTTTCAGACCTTAATTTTTTAAAATAATTTTCACTCTACATTCTTAAAATAAATTTTTTGAAGCTTATTTTAAGTAGGTTTAACGCGAAATCTAGGCATCAAAAGGTTTGAATTTTTAAAGTAATCACTGTTTTCAAATTGATATTTTGAAACAGCGGTATGCTTCGATAAATGGTCGTGTTAGAGGATTATAAACGGTTCAAATGTGACTTATATTTTCAAAAATTATCTTTTAAATTTTCTTAAATATTCATCTTTAGTCGTTTTTATGTATTAAAACCTCGATTAATAGCAAGTCAAGAGGTTTACTGTGGTACTCTAGCATCTCGAATGAGTCGTTCACTTTGCTTTGAATCAACAATGTAGATACGATCTTGACAACTTAAAAACACAATTCCTTCTTTCTTGAACCATTTAGTCTGTGATTTCAAACTTCTTGTAGACAAAACGAATCACTTTAAGTAATTTTTGTTTTTGGCATTATAAGATGATAAGAAAATAACGGCGATGTGGAGAGGACATTAGATTAAAACGAGCTAGACGCGTTGTACCATCACGGAAACCTTTCGAACCAATAAGAGCTTTTTTGAACATTGAATCTGTGTTATATGTAGATGAATTGGTAGTCCTTTAGTGGAAGAGTTTTAAACATGTTTAATTATGGGGGTGTTTTAAGAGCCTGAAAAGGAACAATGGTTATTTGCAGGTGGCGTTCGTAAACCATGAAGAGAGTTGAAGTGAACAACCTACAAACTTGGCAAAGAATAATAGAGCAAGAGCGGGGCTTATAAACTTAGATAAAAGTTTTTATTGACTTGCCAAAAATGCCAAAACATTCAAGCTTGAAATACAGCAACGATCTAGGGATGATTTGTTTAACTTGTGAACGTAATTTTTAAAGTTGAGAACTAGTAAGTAAACTCACAATATCTGAAAGAACTGTTTATAGGACTGGGTATTGTTAAATACCGCCTCGAGCGTTGGATTTAATAAAATCACTGTTAAAAGACCTTGCATAATATATCATAAACAAAAAGCTTCTCTTTTTATGCCTATAAAGAATATTAATTTTATTACCGGTAAAAATGTCTAGAACAGCTTTTTTCTTTGTACCGGGACTAAATAAATATAGTCAGACAGTAATAACAATAGGTAATGTCAGCATATGTAAATGAAAACTCGGTAAAACACTGCATACTGACCCCTTTTTTGACAGTGATAAATAATAAACGAATAGTGAAAGAAATTACAAATACAAATAAGATATTAGACAATAATGATGTATATCTATTTGAAACTCTTTCAGTTTTTCTGTCATTGTGCATGCTGTAGAGCAGACGTCGTTTCCGCCGGTTGCGTGAGGTTTGGACCGTTTTGGGGCATTGTCTTGGACCGAGATTTTTGTCTTCTTTGGAGAATCAGTCCGCAAAGTTTGTAAAGTATGGGAGTCGAATGCGGCACAGAGCTGTGGTATTAAGCACAAAAGACGCAGTTCTTTGTTTTTGATTTTAAAAGTTTAAAAAGCTCAGTTCAAATAAAGATGTCGTAGTCTATGTTATGAAGATTTTAATACCTTAACGGCCATGAATTTCAAGTACTTCTTTTTTATATTTTCAGTTCTTTTTGTTTAATAAACTCAATATTGTAAATAAAAACATACGAGTTTTGCGCTGGGGTAACGAACTTAACTCATTTCGAATAAACTTCATTTGTCGATTATCATCGAAATTTCTAGAAATATCCCGTTTGGATGAACATGGATGAAAAACAATTATAGCGTAAAGAACCTGAGAGTAACGCCGAGTTTGTAACGACACGCAGCAGCTAGCGGAAAATAAAAACCATTACTGCTGTTAATTAAAGAGTAATAAAACGAGAAATGACTTTATAAACAATAATTAGTTGCATTTAAAGAAAATGACGATTGATAATTATGGTGCCCTACGGCGACTGTGGAGCCACACTGGTCATAAGCTGAGATAAGCAGTACCTGAGTGCAACTATACGGTATATATAGTTGTTGAAAATATAAAAATTAGTCATAAATGGGGTAAAAAACGCCATAATGTCTACTTAAGGTAGTACCGGATCTTCAAAATTCTTCTATGAATTTTTTTTTTAGAATTCTATCATTTGAAGTTCATTTTTAGGGTATTCAAATAGTGAAAAAAGAAAAGGGGGTCGCCGTATTGGTTATCGAGATATAAGGCTTCAAAAAGGAGGGATTTTCAGTTTTCCGCGCGTTTTTGCCGAAAATCTGCCTCCTCTAATAAATTCGCGAATTACTCGAATCGATTTAACAAAGAAAAWCAGAAAACTGTTTTAAACTATAGGTGTTGAGTCTAGAAAACATATCTAGATAAAAAATCCATCCAATCTTTTGCAAGTAGTGTGAAAAGTTCTAGCTTCGAATAAAAAGAAAAAAAATTGGGGGTCACCGTACTAATAGACGAGCTATGAGCGACTAAATCCAAGTTTTTGGTCGAAAAGCACAAATCCTGTCCGCGCGGGACTGGGCTCTAGTGCATTACCCACCGTCTGAAACATTCAAATCGTCTTTGTAATCTCTAGAGAATCTAAGATGTATTTCGAATTGATTTTGAGAATAAAATGTCAAATTCATTTTTCGTTACTTCATTTTTATAAAGTTATGAATATGTTGTTTTGAATCAAAAGAGTGATCAAGTCAGACATGAATGAAAATCTAAGCATGTTTTGAAAACATTTCATTTTTGCCTCAATATTTCATGAATTAGCGAAATACTTTGTTAAGTTATAGAAAAGGATTCAACTTCTGACATTATTTGAATCAATTTTCAAAACAGCGCAAATAAAGGGTAAAAAACGAGATGCGCGAAATGGATGCGCAGTAGCAAGGGTCCGGAAATACCTTAAGGACTTTGTCTTCCTTAGTTCAAGTGGAATAAGTTTGTTTGCTAACATGTTATGAATGATCCTGCTGTGAGTGGAGATACAGCAACTGGTTATGGAGGATGAAACGTATAATAGAGAAGATGAATGAACGAAAGAAAGAACAAGAGATTGTGGAACAAACGCTTCGAAAAAATGTATGCATGTATGTATGTATGTATGTATGTATGTATGTATGTATGTATGTATATGTATGTATGTATGATGAAACGGATCCGGAATGAACTAGTAAATCATTGGGAAGGAATGAATATTAATCGAAGATTAATTGAACGAACGAGCGAACGCGAGAAAGAGCGAAGAAGGAACTAGCGTATGGTTGATTTTAAAAATGATTGATTGGTTTTTTAATGAACAAATAAATGGCTGAACGAATGGGAAATATGAATACATGCTGACGTAATCACTGAATTTTAATTTCAACGCCTCGTGTTTGAGGTATAGCAGTGAGTTCATGTCAGTAGTGTCAAACTCAAATTCATCTTGGAATTTTACATTCACTTAAGTGCAAAGCGGCCAACACAAACCTGCTTTGTGTAATATGCAAACAGGAGCCATTCGTCTGATAATTTAGCCGGTTACTTGACTACCTTAAACGTTGAAAATGAAATAACTGTTAGTAGCTTTGTGGCAGCCTGGGATTCGAGGAATTATGAAGCATAACAGCAAGGTCTTTTTAATCAGTCAAACCTTATGCAGAGAAGAGATAACTAGTTAAAAACTAGTGTGAGCTGCGTCGGTGTTTCTAATGAAACATTAATGATAAAAGGGTAAATTATACACCTTACGCAGCCAAACCAATCGTTTGATCGCATTTTTTTATCATGTGGTACCAGGCAAGGCCTGGCTCCCTTTTCAACTACATAATTATACAAGGCTGGCCTTTCATTACCGGCCTGACAATGGTGTTCATTGACAATTGGCTCTTATTCAAAATGATAGATGTTCACAAAGAGAAATTCAGAGTAGAAATACATTTGACATTCTGATTGAATAGGTTATGAGACTAGTCATAGCCAACAGCGGTATCCTAGATACTCAATGTGTCACGTGATCATATTTGGCAAAAGATAACAACACTCGCATAAGACAAATATGGCGGGAAATGGTCACGTGACACGTCAGCCACTAGAAAATTTCCCAGTTACTTACGAATTACAGCGTTGGACGTTCGTGTCAACTATTTACTCTAAAATGCTGTAACAACCACTGGGGCCTTTTAGCGTATTATTTTCAAAGAGATTTCTATATTTATTGTTCTATATATATTGTTGTGGTATTTTGTGGTATTTTAGTATTCTTATCGCCCTTAGTGCAATTGCTTGGTATGCAGTTAACAAATAGAAATCAGTTTTTTTATGTGTCTGTCCTCTTATTGA